CGCCTTGTCTATTCCATTTGGCGAGACAACATCATCTGCATCATCGCTTGCACCCCAACCATCATCATTGGCTCTGGTGTTGCTGCTACAACAGGTGCTTACTCAATCACAAGTGGTTGATTCCTATCTTCGTTCACGTTTCTAACTCCACTTCTGGTTCTTACCATTTTTTATCTACACACCGAATATGGTGAATTCAGATCCTCAATCACGATAGATAATTAAATCATCCTTATCACTCCGAAACGTTTACATGCTAGTTCTAATATCGTAGTCGTACGCTTAGAATCCTAAACACATAAGGTTTCCAGATCCGGTCGGCAACAGACCATAGATCCGAACAAATAATAGCATCAATATAGTTATCACATAAAACATTTAGCACATAAAAGCATTTTAGGCATCATTCTTAAAATAAACAAGTGCTTGTGTCAATTTAGGTGTACTACCTAACATATTTTAGACACACTCCTCACAATCATTACTTAGCATTATAAGTTTAAGTCTAGAATTTTCTTACAAATTCCTAGTTCGCTTAAACTAATGCTCTGATACCAACTGTGACATCCCCAATTTAACGGTCGGAAAAGATTGATTTTTTTATTCTTTGTTTTATAAATCAGAGTATTCGTTTAAAGAAAACGGTTGCGGAATTTGTTCCCAATACAAAATATGATAAGAATTTATCAAAGCATTTCTTTAAAGAAATGTGTTTTCATTAAATAACAAAATCTCGGGATGTTATGTTCCGATACAGACCAAAAGCATAAACAATATAAAATAGACCTTACAACAGTTATTTATAATTACTGATCTATAATCCAAAATCTCTCGTCAAGTCCACCAACTTATACTCTTGTGCCATTACCTGTAATGCAAAGAAAATTGAGTGGGTCAGGCTTGGGAGCCTGGTGAGCATATAGGGTTTTTAACCCACAATATTATATATATATATATATATATATATATATATATATATATATATATATATATATTCAATCATCAAATGATCATTCCGATTACCCCATCCTATTATCTTCCTTACTCTTAAGGGCCTACCCTAAGAGTCATTTATTTGTTCACTATGTATTAGGCACTAAGACAATAGCTGCCAGGATTCTTTATTAGGCACTAAGACAATAGTTGCCAAGGTTCTTTCGTAAAACACTAATTCCATAGCTACTATGGTTCATTCATCGGGTACTAAATCCATAGCTACCAGTGTAGGTACTAAGTTTATAGCTACCAACGTTTATCTAACAGGTACTAAGTCCATAGCTATCATCATCTATTTAACAATAATAAATCCATAGCTACCAACGTTCGTCTATTCGGTACTAAATCCATAGCTACCAAGGTTCAACTATATACAATACTAAATCCATAACTACCGAGGCTTATCTTTACAGTACTAAATCCATAGCTACCGAGGTTTATCTTTCGTCTCATCCTCAAACTCATCCTTCATCACACACCAACTATTTCGTCTACCCATGTTCTACCCAACATATTTGTAGAGATAAAATGCATATACAGTTTAAATCACTTAAAACCTATATAAAACTTCAATTCCATGCCCATCTCAAATACACAAATAATATATAAACACATAGCACGTATTTCATAGCAAATACTTCGTATTTATGTGTTAGAAGAAAGTAACTATAAACTCACCCAAACATATACTTAATACATTCAAACAATACTTGTATTATACTCGTGTTTATGAAATGGACTATACACCCACACATATAAACAACTTTATACTATACACATAGCACGTATTTCATAGCAAATACTTAATATTTATGTGTTAGAAGAAAGTGACCACACACTCACTTGATCAGAAGATGATCGGACAACACTACGGCTTGTAGAAGTAGTATTCTTTGGTAGATCTGGAAGATCTTCACAAAAACTGGGCTTCTCACGGGCAGAGATTCGGCTCGGGAATCTCACTTCTCGGGATCTTTGGGCTTTGGGACTTGATTCCGGTCTCGGGATGAAATCGGGGCTTTGGGGGGTACTTCGGGATGACTATAGAGGGTATCGGGAGTGAGAGAGAGGAGCTGGAGCAACCCAAAATCGGCTGGCCCTTCAAATATATTTATAGGAAAAAATTTACCCTTGGCACGTCGTGGTACGGTTTACCACGTCGTGGTGGTTGGGTCATCACTGCATGCGTCATTGCAAGTGGGTCTGACAGACTCCATAGCTCCTGCCACGTCGTGGCACTTTTAGCACGTCGTGGTGGCTGACAGTTTTGGGGTTTCACGCCCCGAACTTCATAAATTCATAACTTTCGCATACGAACTCTGTTTTCGACGTTCTTTATATTGAAACGTAGGTGAGAATATGCTCTACAACTCTCGTTTATACTCCCTTGGCTAATTTTGACTTTATTTTTAATATATTATAAATATATTACTTTTATATTATTTTTGGTAGGCCGGGACAGGAAAACATCGTTATAAATTTATAACTTCTTCATCTGATGTCCGTTTTCGCCTATCTTTTTATCGTTTCGCTACTATCGATGAGATCTTCGATTCTCATTTGGATTGTCTCGGCTAAAAATCACTCGATCTCAAATCGAGGATTCGAGTTGCATACTGCTAAGTCGAAACTTCGGAAAAATCACAACTTCCTCATACGAAGTCAGATTTAAGCGTTCTTTTTATGCACACTTTTGGTTTAGCGTATTCTATGACTTTTGTTTAGATCACTAAGGATAAATATTACTCTAACGTAAATTCACCTTTTACGTCCTTCAGCGTCGTGCCGCGAAACTTCGACGGGTCATAACTTCTTCGTTATAACTCGGATTTCGTCGTTCTTTATATGCAAGAAATCCTTGTAACATATACTACAACTTAGTTAAGATTACTCATTCTAGATAATCTTCCATCAAAAATTCATTTTGATGCTTATCGTCTCTAAATTGACTAGCCCGGATCTACGGACGTTACACCGACCTACCTATTGTCAAGCATATTTAGGTGCTCGACCTACCCTATCAGGCATATCTGGGTGCCCGACCTACCCTCCGTTTATTCCAACCGGCTACGGAGACTATTTCACCTCTACCACTACCACATAAAAATATAGCATAGTATACTGTCAGACGTGGATGCCCAACCTACCATGTCGGTATATCTTAACCGGGTCCTAGTCCCCTTCATACCACTATCTCATAATATCATAACATACTAGCACAAATAGCATAACCGATAGTGGTATACCAGTCAATTATCACAGAGACAACCATCTATACTATAATCAACTACTAGTGGGCCGATATTGGTGCCTTTGATCCACTCCTACTAGAAGGTAACTCACCTCAATGTCGCATAGTAACTGAATTGTCCTCGGTGCTGATATCAACTCCTCTTAAACTCCTATACATAACAAACTCCTTTAATTACCATTTCATACTCATAACCCCTTTAAGGGTCAACTCTGGTCATTGGTCAATGTCAAAGTCAACATCCTGGTCGACTCAACTCGCCGAGTTGGTCCATCAACTCGTCGAGTTGCATAATCCATAAAACCCTGAAATTTCGATCCTACTCGTCGAGTTCTTTCATGAACTCGTCTAGTTCTATGGTTCATAAAACTCTGGAAACCTCGATCCTACTCGTCGAGTTCTTTCATGAACTCATCGAGTTCTTCCTCATAACATAGCCGTGATCTTTCACTCACAACTTGCCGAGTTCCTCCTTGAACTCACCGAGTTCCTCAATCTTCATAACCCAAAACCATGGCCAAATCGATGAGCCATCTCATAGACTCAGCGAGTTTACTCAGTATTAGAAAAGGTTGGGGGACCACGACCCAACTCGCCGAGCCGTATGAACAACTCGTCGAGTTCCCCCATAATATATATCTATTAAGACACTTTCTGTTGGGCTTAATGCATCCAAATCATAAATCTGGTTTCCTAGGGTCGATATATCACGTAAAGCTTCTAACTTTACGTCCATGCATGTGTTATTTAGCTAAAAAAGCCCTAAAAAGTGGTTCACAAGTTGCATGGGACTCCCATGACCATAAAGTTGGCACCTTTATGCCATGAAGTCCCTCATTGACTCTAGATCCGAAGTCATCACTCCAAAACATGCTTGCATCCATGAATGGTCCCAAAATAGGCTCCTTAAAGCCCTAAACTACCCCATGAAGAGATCTAGTAAATGAATAGTCAAAGTATGGACTTTATACCTCAATAAGGCTACTTTGACAATGAAATTTATGGATCCAAGGTTTTTTCATTCAACCAAGCACTTCTAGCTTCCACTCCTTCAAGGAAATACCAAATAATCACTATATTTTCACTCACAAGCACTTAAAAGGCTAAAGATCACGAATTAGGGTTTTGCTGGACTGAGGGAGGCGATGAGGGATGCTACAATGAAGTGTTAAGGTGCTTAAATAGGGTGCAAACCCTAACACTTAGGGTTTCACTTTGGCAACCCTACTCGTCGAGTTGAGACTTCTCGACTCGTCAAGTAGACTTCAAGTCCCGCGTCTAAAAATTTGTTTCTACTCGACGAGTTTGGGGCCTCTAACTCGTCGAGTCCCTTTGCAAAAATGAATGACTTAATTTAAAGTACATACCAGGATTTGGGCATTAATGGTGATGAGAAAAATAGTTTTTTAAAAAGTGTATGAATTAACTTTTGAGGTGGAATATGATATAAATCAACAAATTATTTTTTAAAAAGTGTTTGTGCTTATATGTGTTTTAGTATTTGTTTTTTACAACCAAAAAAATTATAAAAAGTTTTATAAATTAGAAATCTTAACTTATTAAAATCTATTTTTAAAAAGGTTAATAAAAAGTTATTTTAAAAGTCATTATTATATTGCATTTTTTTGACTTACTAATTTTTTAAAAAAGCAATAAATTATTCCGTTGTAAAAAAAAATCAAATAAATCAATAAATCGTTTTAAATAAAATTCCAAACACCCTAAAAGCAAATTAATAGCAGGCAAAAGTTTTAAAAACTATTTTGCTATAAGTCATTTTATATTTTAATCCCAACCACACCCAAGTCACCGATTGCTAGTTTTCGGGTGGAGCAGTGACCATAGGCGAAAACAAGAGGAAAAATCACCAAGAATCTCTCCTGCTCGCCACCGCCGTCCGCCGGTGGGTTCTGTCTCTCTTAAAGTTCATCAGATTTTCGACCCACTCTTTACTCTCAGACTCTTGCTATTGCGTTCAATCTCAAATCGACGCATGCACTATTTACGGATGTCACCTCAAAGTTCTAATTAACCGATCGTATTTTCGTGTTCTATTTCACATTTGTAGTTTGTTCCTGAAATTTACATCTTAATGTGAGTTTTAGTAAACAAAATAATTTTTAAAAATTAGTGAGACTGCTTATTTGTTGATCTGGGGCTGCTAGGGTTTAGGGTTTTATCCATTAGTTAAAAGCATTTCTAATAGCATGGTAAATTGAAAGTTTCTTCGTGTAAACATGTGCATTTATGTAGCTGTAATCATTTTCCCATGTGTATTTTTTTAAATGATACGTCACTAGAGTATACGATCATATTATACCTTTTTGTAAATTCGAGGAGAGCGAGTTTAGACCTTCTCTCATTTACTTAATCTGAAGCTATATGCTCATGCTAATGGTACTTGTTCGTTTTAGGATCTGCTTTGAGAAGAGATGAGTAAGAAGAAAAACCCTAGTGTGTTCTTGGACTTATCAATAGAAGGAAGTCCTGCTGAAAGAATTGTCATCGAGGTATTTATGTAACTCTATATGTATTCATGTAACTTTATATCTCTACATTATGGAGTTAAGATACTAATGGAAAGTAACGACTTGAAATTTGCAGCTTTTTGCCGATATTGTCCCTAGAACAGCTGAGAATTTTCGAGCACTATGCACAGGTACTTGTAAACTCAAGGGCTTAATGAACCTTAGGCATCTGAAATACATACATACATACATATGCATTGTTTGTTACACTGTGAGTTAACTGTGTAGGGGAGAAGGGCATTGGAAGCGTTACTGGAAAACCATTGCACTACAAGGGAATTATATTCCATCGCATTATTAAAGGCTTCATGGCTCAAGTATGTTAATTGTTTATCTCTTATAAATTATAATAGCAACATAACTTTTGCATTTATTTTTTTCAATGTGTGTAGGGAGGCGATTTCTCAAAACAAAATGGTATGCATTTTCTTTAAATCATGTTCTTGACAGAGTGGAGAAGCTCTTTTTAACTTCCATCTGCATGCCCAGAGTTGTAAGGGGTGACGTTTTGATGGTTTGCAGGCACTGGTGGGGAAAGCATCTATGGAGGAAAGTTTGCAGGTATAAATTATAGTAATTGAAAACATGTTTCCTTATATGCAAGATTTATGACTTATCATTTAATGCTCTTTCTAATTCTTCTCTTTGTGCAGATGAGAACTTTAAGCTGGATCATAGCGGAGCTGGAATACTCTCAATGGCAAACGGTGGCCCAAATACAAATGGATCTCAGTTCTTTATACTCTTCAAGCGCCAACCCCATCTTGATGGGTAATTCATTGGCTTCTTGTTACAAGTTATATCTTATTTTATAATCCATTTTATTAACCCTAGCTTTGTTCACTGGTTATATGGCAGGAAACATGTTGTTTTTGGTAAGGTAACAAAGGGAATGGAGACAATTAAGAAGATTGAGCTGTTGGGAACAAGTGATGGAAAACCTTCTGGTGTGGTAAAAATTGTGGATTGTGGTGAAGTTATTGAAGATAAGAAGAACAATGTGGTGGAATCCGTAAAAGGTATTGCTATTTGCTATTGTTATTTATTAACCATTTATTTTATTTTATTATATAATTTATTGTTGCATTTTCTTTATAGGTAAAAAGAAAAAAACCGTGAAGAAAGATACTTCTTCTGATGACAGTTCTGATGGGCGAGTCAAAAAACGCCGTGGATCAACTATCAGGGAGAAATCGAGGAGACGAAGGAAGTACTCACCATCTGATTCTGATTCTGACTCCGAGTCTTATTCTTCGGAGAGTGATTCCGACTCCGATTCGGAGTCGGAAGCTGATTCCGATTCTTCAAGTTCATCTGCTGGTGGTAAAAGGAGGAAGAAGAGGTCAACAAAAAAAGAAGTCAAAGTCAAACAGCGTAAGAACAAACGGAAAGAAAAGAGACGGTTGCCTGGCAAAAGATCATCAAAGAGAAGGTCCAAATAGTTAGTTGCTTTTGATATACATACATACAACTTAATATAATATGATTGTCTTTGTAACTTGTAAAAGTGGACTTACTTTAGGAGCTCTGGGAGTTCAAGTGAAACAGAGAGTGGAAGTAGCAGTTCTGATGATGGAAAAGCAAATCGACGTGTTGCAAAGGCCAAAAACAGACCTCCAAGTACTTCTGGTATCCTTTTTTTTTTTTTCCCTTCTTTTTAATATAGGCATTGTAGTGTATTTTTACCTATAGTAACATTTAGTTACCAATAATAGCAATATGTCACTCGTGGTAGCAACGAACTTATATTTTCTTTACAGATAGTATTTGGTATTATTGGTAAAGAGATGTATGTAAGTAGGTTGCTGCTATGGGTAAAAAATAAAGCACAAAGCACATTTCAGTTTTCCGTAGTCAACTGTTAGTGAGATAGATGCTTACACATCTTGTTATGTAATATGTAGTGAGGAAAAGCTCACCAGATCTGTCACGAAAGGTGGAAATTAAGGATCAAAATTCAAAGAAAGCCTTGGAAGAGCGAGAGCTTGTTAAAAATGGAGCTGTGAAGGAGAAGGAGAAAGAAACTGTATCTAATAAGCCACCTGGCAAGCAAAGTCAAGATTCAGACGACTCGAGCAGATCCAGGTTTGAAGACACACACACTGACATACATTGATATTGTGTTGTGTGTGTGTTTATTGATGATTATTTTGTTTAGGAGCGGGCGAAGTGCTGCTGTAAGGAGAAGTGGAAGCCCAATCTCAAAAAGTCCTTCAGAAAATGAAAAAGGGTCTGGAGCTTGTGACAAGCATGAAAGAAGGCGTGAGGTATCGAGAAGCAGATCACCAAATGGAAATGGGACCCCAAAAAGAGTTAGAAAAGGACGCGGTTTCACCAAGGAATATTCCTTTGCACGAAGATACCGCACCCCCAGCCCCGACCGCTCCCCCCGCTACCCTCAGCCTCAAGGAAGGTATCATGATAATAGGTAATAAATCAACATTTTAATTATTTACCAAATATGACCCCTCCCCCCCTTTTTTTTTTTTTTTTCTAAAAAAAATCTTGCTAATGATACCCATGAATTGTATCAGATATCCAAATTATAGAAGATATTCTGAGCGGTCCCCACCACGAAGAAACAGAAGTCCACCGAGAGGCAGGAGCCCTCCCAGGTTCTCTCTCTCTCTCTCTCTCTCTATCTATCTGTTAAAGTATTTTGTTTGATTTTAAAATGGAATTTACTAATTTGCCCTTTTGTAGGTATAGGAGAAGGAGTAGGAGCCAAAGCCCAGTTGAAAGGCGAGCAGATATAAGCGAAAAATTAAAGTCGCGGCTTGGACCTCGGGTGACATCACCCTCACCATCACACAAAGCCAAAAGGTCGGCTTCTCCGTCTCCAGGTAAGCATCAGCCTAAGAAAATGGTGTCTGTGGTTTCAAGCAGGTCAAGGTCAAGGTCAAGGTCAAGGTCAATCCCACCTGGTGCTGGTGCTCAAAGGGGTCTTGTTTCCTATGGTGATATTAGCCCCTAAAACTCATATGCTTTCACTATGTTATGTTGTCTAGTGTCTACAACTACCTTTTCTGTTCTTGGCCTTTTTGTTTTTTTTATTGTGATGGATTTTGCTGGAATCTCAACTTTCAAAACTAGGTGAATATGCTAATTTATGGTACAAGTCATTCTGTTACAAACTGATTCTTGATTTCGGAAAATGTATTTGTTGAAGTTGAACCGTTGTATGATTTATATGCATAATATATGCATGGTAACTTGGTAAGTTATGTTCTTATCTCATTCAGTGCAGTCTGGAATCTGGATCAATGATTCTAAACAGTTTTGTAATCACCACACTCTAGTAATGGTCATGAATTTTCTTTTATTTGTCATTTATATAAAATTGAGGTTTTTGTGTAGTACATTGATAATGATACGATGCTTTAAATAAAAAAGAATTCAAGTAAGGGTTAGAGTTGAATTTTGAATTTAGGCATTGAACTATTATAGTTGTGTTCGTTTAATTGTTTAGTCACTAATTTTGTTTATAATTTAAAAGATCCTCGAGCTTGTTTTTTTAGTCATTTAAGGTTTACACGTATTTTTTTTCTTTTACTATTTAATGGCATTGTATTTTTTTTTTCGCCAAAGTTTCTTAGATTTTTTTTGTTACAAATTGTTTTGACAACTTTACCTTTATTTATTTATTTTTTTGTTTTTTCACTTATGTTAGTTTAGAATAATATATTTAAGAATTGGAAGAGGACAAAAAGTATAACCTTTTGTGTGGCTTTTTGAAAGTGAGGAATTTAGTCAAGTAAATTTCTTACTCCAAAAAATTTACAGTATGTTAGTTTTTTTACGTGTTTTTTCAAATTGTGTTAGTTTTTTACATGTGTTTGCATAATTTTCGTAATTCATATTTTTTCTAAAACACACATCCATTCCCATCCACACCTCAGCCAACACCAACACTCATTGGTATATACTTTGAAATTTATTCTTATTTACACCGGGATTTTGAAGAAAAACCTCCCTCGTTGGGCTTTCAAAAAGTTACTTCACTGGATTCTACAATCAGATAACTTCTCAACCAGCATCATTTGAGCCTTGGATTGGACATGTGCACATTTGAACAATAGATTATACAAACATAACAATTATGAAATTCTACAATTAGCTCAAAATTTTGAAAAAGTACTCCGAAGTATACATTCTTACCTGAAATATATATATATATATATATATATATATATATATATATATATATATATATATATATATATATATATTTTCCGGAAATTTCTATGGTATATTTTTTTGTCAGAATAGTTTATTCCGAAAATAATACCTTTTGACAAAAAAATTATATGGGAATCACTTTTTGTGTGAAATAATCTATTTTAATACTTTTTGTTCGAAATTTTCGAATGACATAAATCTATAATAGACTTAAATACGATGTTTTTTTATATATATCTTAAGAAATAAAAAAACTTATTGTCATCTTATTACCTCCTTAAAATAGGTAATCATATTCCCCATTATCACTAGGATTTTTTTTGCGACAAACCCTAGTAAATATATGCGAAAGGGACGAGCACAACAGCAAATTGTGGGTAACGGAGAAAACGCCGTAAGGAAGAGGAGGCGTGACACATTTGGGCTAAAACCTATCTTCTTTGTCCCTTGCGCCGCTCTCGTCTTCCGTCGTTACCGATATGGCGGTTTGCTTCAACCCCTGCGAAAATATGCTCATTTCATCCACTAATACCGCCGCCGCCGCCGCCACTGCCACCACCTCCACCTCCGCTTTCATCTCCTCCAAACCAAAGTCTTTCCCTTTCTCCTTATTCTCACTAAAGAAGTCCAAAATCACCCACAATTTATCAGCACCTTCAACCCGCACACAAAACGCTTGTTCCATTGTCTGCAGCTCTACTAAGAGCAACCAACCAACTGAAACTCAAAAACCAAATGTCGGTAAGCGAACTGATATCAAAAAGATTATGATTCTTGGTGCTGGGCCTATTGTTATCGGCCAAGCTTGTGAATTTGATTATTCTGGTACCCAAGCTTGTAAAGCTTTAAGAGAGAATGGTTATGAAGTTGTTCTTATCAATTCAAACCCGGCTACTATCATGACCGACCCGGATATGGCTGACAGGACATACATTGAGCCGATGACTCCGGAGTTAGTCGAGCAGGTTATTGCAAAAGAACGACCAGACGCGATTTTGCCCACCATGGGTGGCCAAACCGCGCTTAATCTGGCGGTGGCGTTGGCTGAAAGCGGTGTGCTTGATAAGTACAATGTGGAGTTAATCGGAGCTAAACTTGAAGCTATCAAGAAAGCTGAAGATAGGGAATTGTTCAAGGAAGCCATGAAGAACATCGGCCTCAAAACTCCCCCATCTGGAATTGGTACTACCCTTCAAGAGTGTCTGCAAATCGCCAACACAATTGGTGAGTTCCCTTTGATTATTAGACCGGCTTTTACTTTAGGTGGTTCTGGTGGTGGAATTGCTTACAATAAACAAGAATTCGAGACGATTTGTAAGTCAGGACTTGCAGCCAGTGTCACATCACAAGTTCTTGTTGAGAAATCGTTGTTAGGATGGAAAGAATACGAGCTTGAGGTTATGAGGGATTTGGCAGATAACGTCGTTATTATATGTTCTATTGAAAACATCGATCCAATGGGTGTTCATACCGGGGATTCAATCACAGTTGCCCCTGCACAGACTCTGACAGATAAGGAGTACCAACGCCTTCGTGATTACTCCATCGCAATTATAAGGGAAATTGGAGTTGAATGTGGTGGTTCTAACGTCCAATTTGCTGTGAATCCTGAAGATGGCGAGGTTATGGTTATTGAAATGAACCCTAGAGTTTCAAGATCTTCTGCTTTAGCATCAAAAGCTACTGGTTTTCCTATTGCAAAGATGGCTGCTAAGTTATCTGTTGGTTATTCTTTAGATCAGATTCCAAATGATATCACAATGAAGACACCTGCTAGTTTTGAACCTTCAATCGATTATGTTGTCACAAAGGCAAGTCTTAGTTTATCCATTTTCAAACCGTCATCTTCTTTTCTTTCGTTTATTCATCACATAATCATTCTAACAGTATAAGTCATTGAATATAACAGATTCCGAGGTTTGCATTTGAGAAATTCCCAGGATCTCAACCGGTGTTGACAACACAGATGAAATCCGTAGGTGAATCAATGGCTGTAGGAAGAACATTCCAAGAATCTTTCCAGAAGGCAGTGAGATCACTTGAAACTGGATATTCGGGTTGGGGTTGTGCACCAATCAAAGAGCTGGATTGGGATTGGGACAAACTGAAATACAGTCTTCGTGTTCCAAATCCTGATCGAATCCATGCTGTATATGCTGCAATGAAACGAGGCATGAAAGTGGACGCCATTCATGAATTAAGTTTCATCGACAAATGGTTCCTCACACAACTTAAAGAATTGGTGGATGTCGAGCAATACATCATGTCAAAAACTTTATCGCAGCTTGACAAAGACGAGTTTTATGAAATCAAAAAAAGAGGGTTTAGCGATAAGCAGATATCATTTGCAACAAAATCAACAGAAAAAGAAGTTCGTGTGACACGTTTGTCTTTGGGAGTTGCTCCTGCTTACAAACGTGTTGACACCTGTGCTGCAGAGTTCGAGGCAGATACTCCTTATATGTATTCATCTTATGATTATGAATGTGAATCATCTCCAACTAAAAGAAAAAAAGTTTTAATCTTGGGTGGTGGACCCAATCGAATCGGTCAAGGGATTGAATTCGATTATTGCTGCTGTCATGCTTCATTCGCCCTTCAGGTTCGTAAATCGAAACATCCATTCATCACTATTTTATATATTTTTTTTATACTTTTAAATTTTTTAATCTTATCTTTGTTTGTAATTGTAGGAGGCTGGCTATGAAACGATCATGATGAATTCAAATCCCGAGACTGTATCAACCGATTATGATACGAGTGATCGGCTTTACTTTGAGCCACTCACGGTTGAAGATGTTCTTAATGTAATCGACATGGAACGTCCCGATGGAATCATAGTCCAATTCGGAGGTCAAACTCCATTGAAACTCGCTCTTCCAATTCAAAACTACCTGGATGAACACAAGCTTCCATCTTCTTCCAATTCCGGGTTCGTTCAAATCTGGGGGACATCACCCGATTCCATCGATGCAGCTGAGGATCGAGAGCGGTTCAATCTGATTCTAAACGAACTAAAAATCGAACAACCGAAAGGCGGAATCGCGAAAAGCGAAGCCGATGCTCTCGCAATCGCGTCGGAAATCGGGTATCCGGTTGTTGTCAGACCTTCATATGTGTTAGGAGGTCGAGCAATGGAGATCGTTTACAGTGACGAAAAGCTAATCAAGTACCTCGAAACCGCGGTTGAAGTGGATCCGGATCGACCCGTTTTGGTGGACCGGTACTTATCGGACGCGATCGAGATCGATATCGATTCCCTCGCGGATCTACACGGGAATGTCGTGATCGGTGGAATCATGGAACACATCGAGCAAGCCGGAGTCCATTCCGGTGATTCCGCTTGTATGATTCCGACCAAAACCGTTTCCGCTGCGAGTCTGGAAACAATCAGAACATGGACTACAAAATTAGCTAAACGGTTGAACGTTTGCGGGCTTATGAACTGTCAATACGCAATCACGAATTCCGGCGATGTTTTCTTGCTCGAAGCGAATCCACGGGCTTCCCGAACAGTCCCTTTCGTGTCAAAAGCGATCGGGAGGCCGTTAGCTAAATACGCTTCACTTGTAATGTCGGGGATTTCACTTCCTGATTTGGGTTTCACAAAAGAGGTTATACCAAAACATGTATCAGTGAAAGAAGCTGTTCTTCCGTTTGAGAAGTTTCAAGGGTGTGATGTGTTTTTAGGGCCTGAGATGCGTAGTACGGGTGAAGTGATGGGGATTGATACGGATTTTTCAATTGCTTTTGCTAAATCTCAGATAGCTGCGGGACAGAAGCTACCGGTTTCAGGGGCTGTGTTTTTGAGTTTGAATGATATGACGAAGCCTCATTTGGGGAAGATTGCTAGGGCTTTTTTGGGGATTGGGTTTACGATTGTTTCAACTTCTGGAACTGCTCATGTTCTTGAGATGGATGGGATTCCAGTTGAGAGGGTGTTGAAGTTGCATGAAGGGCGTCCACATGCAGGTGATATGGTTGCTAATGGACAGATTCAGTTGATGGTGATCACCAGTTCCAATGATGATCTTGATCAGATTGATGGGCGTCAGTTGAGGAGGATGGCTTTGGCTTACAAGATTCCGATCATAACCACCGTTTCTGGGGCTTTGGCTACTTGTGAGGCCATCAGAAGCATGAAAACCAAGAAGTTTAAAATGGTG